GAAGTCACCCTTATTTGTTTCTAAACAGGTGAATACTGAAAATAGCCTCGTGAAAGTGTAGAGTAATGCTTTGAATTTAAGGCTACTTAACATCATTACAATTGCAGTGTGCCTTTGCAATTCCAGTGCAGTTGCAATGTGCCTTTGTGGAACTTTTCGTTCCTTTGTTTCTGATTTTACAGCTGTTGACTTGTTGCTGGAGTATATGCATTGCTATTTAGCATTGGCTTGATTTTTATTCATTCATTGGACAAATGTATGCTCAGATAGATAGATAGATAGATAGATAGGATAGATAGATAGGAAGAAGAAGAAAAAGAAAAGGAAGGAAGGATTGCATCAAATACAAATGCATATACACCATTGTTTAGGTGCTCCTGAAGTTCAGACAAGTTTTAAAAACTTAGAGTTTTGAATATATCCAGGGAGCTTACATATGTGACTATAAAACATGTTCTGTAACAATGTAAAATTGTTCCCAGAGTCTGATGGAACACACTTCTCTCCTACAATTCTCAAGAAGAGGGTATATTTAGATAGAAGGGCTCCTATGGAAAATTCACAGGTCTGGTATACTCCCACAGATACAAGTAAGCTTCCTAAGAAGATACGTTATAGTGCTTGAGGTTTATTTTGCTGAAGTTCTCAACTTTTGGGAGTGTTTTGATGTTTGATCAGTGTAGAGGAAGGGAAAAAAGTTTGTTAAACACCATCATTCACATGGAAGTGTCTGCAAACCTTATCTAATAAATATATACCACCGCACCCAAACTATGAACTTCTAATTTAACTTCTAGTAATTTAACTTCCAAAGTTAAAGTAATTTTGCAATTTAACTTCCAAAATGCATGTAATTCGTCCAAAGCCACCAACTTAAAGGGACATTGACTAAGACAGGGTCTTAGCTAGTTGCAATGAAAACGTCTTTCTTAAGCCAATCTTATAAAAATGGATGATGCTGGTAATGCATTGCTGTGGTCCCTCCTGGGACAAAGGGGTGGGCTTGGGCAAGGGAGGACCTGCAACTCCAACTTCATTCCCTGGACAACAAATGTCATTTGGGAAGAATCAAAGAGAAACACAGATTGGAGATTCTTTCCTCTTTTGTTTTCATCATTTCAACATGTTTTGATGTTTTACTAGAAACATTAATGTACTCAGCGTTACCCAAATTTCCCCTTTCCAGGCAGGGTTATTGACCACAGACGTATCCATTCCATTACATCTGGCTGGCAAGACTTCCTATTTCAGTCATCTGGAGAAAATGGCTCACTCCCTTCCCTGTTCCTTACTTATCATCTATGGATCAGCCTGCCGATCTATCAGTGTACCTTTCTTTATGACCAAGTTTCAGATTGACGTATGCTGTTTCCTGTAGCTCATGACATTAGGTGGGGACATAGGAATCCTCATGACATGTAGAAAAGGCCACTACACCAAGCATCTGCACTCTGATCCCTGCTCAGCTTCTAATTCACTATGTGCCTGGAAAGGGAGCTACTCTCCCTTCTGGGCTTTGAGTAACTCACTCAGCTAGTTGGTGCACGTGTCAGGATGAGTCAGTGCTCTCTGGGAGTCCACAGGTTCTGCAGAGGTGCCGCGAGAGTAGTTAATCCCTCCTTCTTGCTTTAAGCAGAGGACCTCTGCTTTCTTGCTGTATTATATGCTAGATTAGAGTCTGTTTCAGGATTGTTGTCTTGACATTGTTATACTGTGAAAAAAAAATGAAGGCAATTTTTAAATAAAAGTTGTCCCAAATCTTTTGGAATCTTTTGCGATGACCTGGGAATTTTTTAAATAGTTCTGTTGTGTTGGCCAAAACGTTCATGACCTTTTTCCCATAAGAAGGCTCTAATAGCACTTAGTTGTCTTTAACTCCATTCAAAACAATTTTGTTGGATCCTATTGTGACAGCTGTCATAGTAGCATGCATTTAAAAAAACATCAAAATTGGTGAATTTGGGGGTAACCATTTCAATATTGAAATGGAAGAAAATATGCAACATTTTTGGTATATGTGTTACTATTTTAAGAAAGGTAAAAACATAATAAAAAAATATTTGGGCAGTGTGTGCAGAAGGCACTGTAACTGATCAAAATTGTCAAAAGTGGATTGTGAAGTTTCTGGTGTTGAAGATTTCCTGCTGGATGATGTTCCACAGTTGGGTAGAACAGTTCGTCGATAGCGTTGAAAGAGAGACCTGAATTGAGAACAATCAATGTTCTACCACTTGGGAGGTAGCTGACATACTCAAAATATTCAAATCAATAAAGATATTGGCAAAAATGAAAAATGTGTCTATTTTATGGATAAAACCTAAACAGACTTTTTGGCCACCCAATAATTCCATCACAGAGCTCAGAACTTGAATTTGTATTTGTTCAAAGTTTGTTTTGAATTTGCTGGGTTGGGAGACATTATTCTACACCAGTGGTAGGCAACCTTGTCTACACTTTAGGGTCATGTGGGGAACTTTAAAAATGCTGATGCCTGGGTGCTAGCCTTGTGACCATTATTTCAGGGACCTGAGCGGAGATGTTTTGCATAGCTCCGCAGGTGCCTCTGAGGGCATCAGGGTTGAGAACTCCCAGCAGAAGTAATCACTGAATTCTGGCCAGTTCTAACAATCTGTGTATGAAAAAAATCACACACGTGATATCCATTTCCCTAGTCCCTTGGTGATGCTGATTGGACCTGGTGTTTCTGTTTTACAGCTGAGATTATAAGTCTCCCATTAGTCGGGATGAATGTCGTAGGAAAGACGGTTGGTATGACGGCCATATCTGTAGCTTTCACACACTCACGTGGGAGGAACACCCTGCAGTTCAACCTACCTGCAAGAGCCAAAGACTTAACGCTTGTCCTTACCCTGCAGCCCTGTAGCCACTCACAAAAGGGTCAAGTTCACTCATCTTAAATCAGGTCATTCATAAAATTCGTTGATCAGAATCAAAGAACATTTCAGATATGATTATAAGACTCTGTGATCATTTCCTTATTTTAGAGAATATGATTTAATAGAAAATTAAGGCCTAATTTCCTTCAGATTTATAAGGCATTTTTTCCCTGCTGATTAATCTTTGTAAAAAGGCCAGTGAGCAATGACTTTGTAATGTTCCCATGTAGTTACAGCTCTGACCTACAGAATTATAAGGAGCTGAGTAATAAAATAGAGATTTTCTTATACCATAAACCTCACTGCTTCATTGAGGACACAGAGCTTTGGGAGCCTCAAAAGGAAATTTGCAAAGATTCAAATAGAACTTCCCATGGTGTTTGGCTTGAACTTTTGTACACCTCCAGACTGCAGCCAATTTCATAGTGGATGGGGAACCACTCATTCATTCATCACTTACACGTGCATTTCTTCACTTACTCATTCCGTACACATGTATTTAAGTATACGCTAGGGCCTGTTGTCAAGGTCAGGGTCAGGGTCGTGTTCAGGATGAGACAGATGTTGTGGAGGCCTCTTACTGAGCATTTCTGTTGACTGTAAATAACAGTTCGCTTGGTTTCTCAAGTGGAATTTCACTGATGCCTAAAAGCCATGAGCTCTCTTGGGGGATCTTTAGAGTTTAGGCATACACTTGAATGATTACCAAAAAGCTATAAAATAATATTCTGAGCTATCTGGAAGATGACCCAATAACCAAGGATGTGATTTGGGGGCCCACATTTTTTCTCACCATGGTCACTTTGGCACCACATGTCACTGATTTAATTGCTACTGAATGAGACGAGGATAAACAGAAGCAGGCGTTGTTCTAAGGGAATGAAGTGTGCCTCCGCGAGGGCCACATGGAGGGGAAGCCTCATGGAAAGGCTCTGCAGCACTTTGAATGGAGCAAGGCAGTCAGGGCCCCGTTGGCCCGTGGCCCGTGGCCCGTGGCCCGTGGCAGAATAGGGATGACATACTCAGGAGAGGCTGCGCCAAAGCCCTGGCTACCACGGTATGCAGTTTGGTTTTAGCAGGTCATCTTCGTTCATACTAGTCAGTGACTTCCCATTTTGAATGATTCATGTGGGTAGCTTTGTTTGCATTTAATTTTTAAATTTGGCATGGTTTTATAATTTTCTGGAAGTGATGAGTTTACTTACCTTTGTGTTGGTGCCTAATTAGTAGTGCTGCTATAAAGATAATTGGTGTCAACAGGAGGGATTTGGGAAAGCAGTCTGACCTTAAAGGGCAGCAGCATATTAGTGAACATTGACAAACATTTTTCTGACATGTCTTACTCTACCGAAATCACTGTCTAACTAGCTCACTCCTCCCCTTAGCCTGCAAGACCCTGAAAGGCCTGTGTATCCCCTACTTGACTTGGGGGCTCCTTTATGTTTATTAAATAAAGGAGCTGACTGATACCAATCAGAATTGTCTCCTACATAAGGAACAACTTTAAGGGTAGTGAGTTCTCTGTCGAGGGAAGCATGTAAGCACAGTCTGTGTGCCCTTCAGCTCCCCTGTGAACTTGGGAATAGAGAGAAGATCAAAATGCTACTTTTGCCATTGGCTTTCTAGCAATTAAGAATGATTGCACTTGAGGTCATTACCCCTCCCTTCCCCCCCCAAAATTGTCTGAATAGTATTAGAACACCAGTGAACTATCGGGCTGATTTTATTTTCCCCCACGAATTCCACATTTTACCCTCAGGACTTTGACAGATCCAAAGTGCCTCCCTCAAACAGGCGTTGGGGTCTGCGAGATGTTTGGAAAGCGGCTTCCTAGGCGTCTCTCTCCTCCTATGACATGTGTGTATGTAGATGTCCTGACACACGTGATGAGACATGGCTGAGTAAACAGATAGGACTAAAGCAGGCGTCAGGAGGAGCCGCTTTGTCCAGAGGAAATGGGTTTTCAGAGGCTTCGGGAGGGTGGGAATGTACAGACAGCAGCCAGCCATGTCTCTTCATCAGCTGAATTGTTTCCTTCCTTTCCTCCCGCCCCTCTCTCAGCAGTTTCATGCGAGTGCCTCTCTCTCGCCTCGTTTATTTCAGATGCCCCAGGAACAGTACGCGCACCACCGGAGCGCCATGCCTGGCTCCGAGGGGCCACAGGTGTACAAAGTGGGGATTTATGGCTGGCGGAAAAGATGCCTGTATTTTTTTGTCCTGCTCCTGATGATTTTAATCCTGGTGAACTTGGCCATGACCATCTGGATTCTCAAAGTCATGAACTTCACAATTGTAAGTAAAACAACCCAAGTTTCTGTAGCTCTTCTTGGGGGAAGGGAACATGTGTGTGGAAAGACCACTGCAAAAAGGAATGTAGAAAAACCGCAGTTGTGCGATTCAAAATATCCTGCAACCTGGTGTTCTGGTTTTAAAAAAAAACAACTATTCACATTACACGTGAGGATGGACTTCTATCTGATCTCAATTCCTCAGAGGCTGGTTACCCAGTTTAGAGCCATTTCTCCCTACACCATCTCGTGCATGCGTCCCCTTCATTGGGACAATGGCGGTCTGTATCCTGTAGTTTACAAGCACTTTGGGTAAATAATGCAGCAGGAAATAGGGGTGAAATCAAAGTATTGAGTGATTTAGCAGTGATTTTAGCAGTGATCATGAAAGGTTTTGTGAAATGTTGGGGATTATCTAAGAATTTTAATTGTCTACTTGTACCTGGTAGCTCTTTGCCATGGTTAATGGGCATCTCCATGATTAGGGGCCGGCGCTGTCTTTGTCACCACCTGGGTGAGATGCAAGTAGCGGGCGTGGAGGTGTGCTTCCTCATTAAAGAATTGGTGTTTGTGCTGCTTTGACAAAATTTTTGCTATTGGTGCCACTATACTGTTTGAATATTTACTTATCGAAGTTCAGATGAAAAGAAAATCTTGGCAAAATGATTTCTGGAGTTACTCTGAGGTTTCTTTCATTTTTTTTTCTCAGAGATTTCTAGCAATTTTAGCAAGATAAGTGATTGTAGCTATTAGTGAGTGCTCAGAGGGCACCAATCGGCTGCCCTTGGAATGCCGTGTGCTCTGGGGATGTCAAAAGTCAGTAGTTACAGTGGCAAAAAACATACCTTGTTTGATAAAGAAAAGTGACCATAACACAGTGAACAGAAAGGTTTTCATGTGACACTCTCAGACAGGGTATGGATATTTACCTTTTCTAAATTATAATGTTCATTTCTTATTCTTAACACTCTGCATCAGCACAGCCCCTTGCTGGGGTAGTATTGTGTGCTTCACCTGCCCTACCTGGCAGAAACTCTCCTGATGCTCCTCTAGCTCCTTTTGTGTAGCTCTTATGATGCTTATCTTTCCCGGCAATAGTTTTTACATGTCTTTTTTCTGTGCACCTTCATGTGTCACTGATGGGAGGTGCTTCATTAGGACTTACCTAGGACTCCAAAGCCCAGGTTAGAGACATTGTCGTAGGTGTCAGAATGGCTCATTTCTTGATGCTTGTAGTTAAAGCTAGGAAACTAATCCAAAAATGACCTTAATTTTACAGATTTTTTTTCTTGAGGAAAAAAAAAGTTCCATTCTTAGGAAAATATAGACAGCCTTTGGAATTACAACATTAAGTTTGGAAGAGGATACAGGTCGATCTCCAGGGGACTGTAGGGGTTCCAGGTGAAATGCTCTCTCCCCACCAGTGACTTTCAACCTCTTTTATCTCGTGGCACACACAAAGTAATTGCTAAAGTTCTGCACTTACCAAAGAATATATTTTTATGGATATGGTAAAAAATATTTCTTACTGATATGATGAAAAATATAATTTTGATTCATGCACACCAGACAGGTACTGTTGTCTGTTGTCATTATTTTCATTTGGCAATCTAAGGGGGAACAGGTCAGTGCCCCTGACTAAAGAGTCGGGGACTGCATGTTTTAAAAAGTTCTTGCAGCAGATAGTTTGGAAATTGTTACTCTAAACTAGTAGAGCACATTAGCTTATTTCTGAGTTGGACTCTAGACTCTTTTTGGACTTGGACTTAACTTTTTTTTTTAAGACAAAATTCAGAGAAGTGTTTGAAGCAGGTGAGAAAGATGTAGTCATATTTGTGGTCTAAATGCTTGCTCAGGTGAGGATGCAGTATAATGGGAAAACTTTCTCAGCGTTTAGGGCTCTAACGGGTGTCCTGGGTCCAAGTGCCTGCCCCTAATCACCATTTGTTAATGTCCATGTTCTGTGATGTTTTGTTTTGTGTTTCACAAACTTGGAAAGTGGAAAACTTCTGCACTGCAATATTTAATAAGGAAAGACTGAAGGTGGGGTGATAGAATAGAGAATAAAGATTCAAAAGACTTTCAAAAGATGGAATGGGCACATCAAACCACCTGCTGGTTGGAGGTGGCAGCTGAGATGTTAGAAGACCCCCTGGAGCTCTGGTGCCCACGTTCTGGATGGCGAGATGGTTGGAGCAGGGGCCAGGAAGCAAGACAGAATTCCTTACTTTCCTACAGGAGCGGCACCAAAACTCCTGTATCCCCTGAACCCCCTGTTGGGGGCATTTTTGTTGCTTTTACCTAGTTGTCATGAAGTTAATTTATGGAACCTGAAAGATGTACGAGTGTGCTGAATATGAACTCAAACATGGATAACTCTGATATTATACAAAGGTGGCTTCTGGAGTGTGTTTAATCTGGCACGCTTAATATTGAGAGGTATATTTAAATGTATACTGAGTGACAGTTCATACTGAGCGTGTGTGAGTTTAGGAAGCAACACGACATTGAAGTAATAATCTATGTGAATTAGGCTATTTCCCATTGTTAACTCAATTGGTTGCCAAAGTTGAAAGTCTTCAAGGCTTTACTGAACCAAGTACTTACTGAGGTGAGAATAATGCCATTATTTGCCATAATTGGTGCTTTATAACAGTAATGCATTTGAGCAAATAGGGCTAAAGTGTCAGAAAATTGGTCTTTCCCTGTAAGTTCAGAGCATATTTTCCCATCAGTCACAGTGTAAAACATATTTTTAAGAATTATAATTCTCTTCCACAAATAATAACTTACTGACAGTGAAGATCTTGAAAATGAGTGCAGTATTAACCAGCATTTTATTGGAGAAAGTTGGGACGAAAGTGCAAAGGAAATCAGCGAGATGCCAGTTGAGCATTTTCTTCAGGGATTCAAAAAGACTGCCAGTAGGAAAGAGGGATTATTTTGTACACCTGGAATATTCAATAATTTTGACATTGGGAGAGCTCACACTATAATCCAACCCTCCGAGTGATCACCAACCAAGAGAACGATGTCATCCGAGAGTGTTTCTGAGGACTTGGCAGTTTATCCAAGATTCCATATCCAGAATCTGCTGCCGTCAGCTTGCATTCTGTGCCCTCCCTGGGAATGGTGCTGGAGGAGTGCTTCCATGACAACTGTCTGCACAAACGTCCAACCAAGTTTTCTGTGTCCCAGATGTAAATCAGAAGGAAAATGACTCTGCTCTCCTTTGCCCCTATCAGAATATTCATGTGTTCGTGACTAGGTGGGGCGGCAAGTTTCCCCCTCTCCCCACAGCTTCCCCCTGAGTGGAGGAGCGTGTGGTTACTTACACTGCAAAGACCCATGAGTCAACCTGCCCTAGTTTATTGCTCGCCGTGCTGTGCAAAGGAACTAATTTTTCTCACACATCCGTGGTGTGCTAGTCCCAGTGCTAGGCACGTAAAACATCTCATTTAATTTTTAAAACAACTCTATTTTAGATAAAGAAAACCCAAGGATCAGAGAAGTGGAGTGACTTCCTGAAAGATGCACAGCTAGTATGTAAAACGGTGCTTACTTTCTAAGCCCAACCCCTTCCACTACACCGTGCCTCCTCCCCTAATTGCCACAATGATCCAGCTCTTCAACAAAACTCTGAGGCTGGCAAAACAGTGCCTTGGCTTTGTTGCTCACCTGAGTCATCTTATCACAAATTTCTCTCCCACCTAAGGTGTCCACTGATATTTTCTGCCTAGAGTACTTTCCTGGTGATGCTGAATGCTCAGCCCTTGTCCGTAGCTGATGCCTCTGCCCCTCCACGCTCTCCATCTTGTGTTTTAGCTCCCTGTTGTGTTCATGGAAACACTAAATATAAACTTATTGATAATATCTGTGTCATAGGCTGGTGTGAAAACTCAGTGTCTCAATTGACATTAAGCATTTGTAGTGGCGTCCAAGCCATATGAAGACTCGACCTTGGCCACGGAAAGTCATGAGCGACCCCACACTGCAGTATAGTAGTTAAGGGCTCAGACTCTGGAGATGGCTGCTCTAGGGACAGATTTGTGTTTTGTTACTTACTTTGGCAAAGTTTCTCAGTCTCTCTGTGCTGCAGTTTCCTGGGGGTAGCCACCTACTCACGGGATGGTTGTGAAGAACAAATGAGGTGATAAATGTAAGGTGCTGAGAATGGAGCTTGGTGGATAGTAGGTGCTTTATGTGAGTGTTTGCTACCACCATCATCGTCATTCACTGGGTTCATTTTGTGCCAGACACTCTGCTGTTGTGATTAGTAAGTGTTACCTAACTGAACCCTTCGGCCGGTGGTCAGTGCTTTGATGAGAGCAACTTCACAAGGGAGGAGGCAGGCTCAGTAACTTGATCTCATGGCTCTACAGTGGGAGAGCAGAACTGGAATCTAACTCTGCAGCCTGGTCTGTCAGCTGGTTCGATGCCATGTAGGCAGAGCAGAAAGCCCCAGTGTAAGGGTCAGGGAACTGGATGCCTGGCCAGCCAGGGACTGCGTCGCCTTGTTCCTGGGGCGCAGCCTAGAGGAGAATGTGCTGACATAGGTGTCCTTGAAGTCTGTAGGGCATCATCCTGTTTGGACACTCGGATTTTGTCTTCCAGGCTTCGCCTTGACTGGGCGAGACCTTGCTCTGTAAAGGGTTTCTGCTTCTGCCAATGCGTTCTAGCAGCCAGTCCAAAGAACTTGGCCTCAAAGACCTCCCAAAATACTTTAGTATTGATCATCTACATGATCATTTAGCACAGGTTGTTAAGAAGTGGCAAAAATTAGAAGGCACATGAATTATCAATAGGTGGCCTGATCTTTTAGCCCGCTGTGACTGTGAAGTCATTCGTTGTTAGATGAAATAGGGACTTGGGTGTCACCTCACTGGATGTGCCCATCTTGCCAACGATTGAACCAAAGCAGACGGCAAGGCTGCCTGACACGGCCTCGGCCCCCCAACCGTGCTGGAACTTCCCAGGGGCAGGGTTTGTGGTCTCTTCACTCGC